AACCCTATGATATTCTCTTCATTCTAAGAGGCACGTGTCCATTTTCTAACAAAGTGCCACCATATATATTACCTACACCTTGTGATGAAATTGTTCAATGTGTTCAGCAGATTCTTCCTTTCTTTCTTTTGTTCTTTCTCTTTCTTTCTTTCTTTCTTTCTTTCGTTCTTTCTTTCGTTCTTTCTTTCTTTCTTTCTTTCTTTCCTTCCCTCCATCCCTTGTCTATTTGTTTTGTTTTTTTACTTTAGTTTTTTACGCTATCAAACACCTTGGGATTCTGGTGATAAAGTGACAAAATTAATTTCTCCCATGGAAATAGTGCAAATTCTATCTTATTGCAGAAAAATATGGGGCAGCATTTTGGCCAAAATGATCTTGGTTCTAATTTAAGACAGTAATTTTAACTAACATTGTTGGATTCACTACAGTTGTTGACTGAAGCAGTTATTTATAGTCTTTGATTTATCGCTCTGTAGTCATTCAGACCCAATGCATTGCAAAAATTACTAATTGCATAATGCAATGGAATACTCAATTTGAAGTAGGTCACATATTTGTATAATGGAATTGGCAGTCACACAACATAGGAGTACGAAAATATTGCAGGCTCTTGGGACCTTATAATTTCACAAAGTTACTACTAATGCAGTGCTGTAGATAATTATAATAATCCGATCAAATAATAATAGTGTTGAAGTTCTTCACTGCATATTACGAAAATAACTAGTCTTTTGATCTGTCTGCTTTGCAGCTGTAACAAAAATCATGTGTGTAGGTAGAGGGTAACTGTGTATGGGCATACACATTTACCATTGATACCCAACCATTTATTCCCAAAATGAAACACAACAAACTTACTGTGGAGTATATAGGCCACAGCTTTATTATAAATATATAAATATTAAAACTTTAGCTTTAACATAAACACTATATACATGATTACTCAGTAAATAGATATGTCACTGAGTACCACCTTGCCAACCAAACATAACCTAGGGCAGCTGCCCCCTTCCCCCCTCGTTCCAACCAGTACAAGTCCTTTTCTTGGGCCTTCCATGACGTAATGCTAAATACTAGCCTTTTTTGGCTCAGTGGGAATGTCTGTTATCCATAATTGTACCTGAGGTTAGGGGAGGGACAGCCCTACCCATCCACTTTCCACGTACCGCTGGTCCAACCTCAGTTGCCAAAGGCCATATACTGCCACAAGACCCGCTGGTTTACCCCCTAAATCAAGGGGGGCTGCCCCAATACCATCGCCTCCTCCAATGCATCCTGCAATGCTAGGTTAAACAGATCCAGTCTTACCTCCGTCAGGTAGACCCCATCACTCCTAAAATAAATAGCTGCTTTATGCTCAAAGATGCGGTAACGCACTGGGAGCCCCCCATTCCCCTTACAAACTCCGAAAACCCGCTCGTTAAGCTTAATTCTGCCCTGTTCCAGAGCCCTGGGGTTTCTTGCCCCCATCCAATAGTTCTGAGAGAGCGCCTCAGACCACACCAGATACACTCTCATAGCTCAGCCAAATCATTCTGGATCATCTCCCCTAGTTCCCACACCGGTATAGTGCTAAGATCGATCCCCCCAGTATGAATTAGGATACAATCAGGAACACCGAGCAGGCCGGACAAATGGACCAATTTGGGCAACAGGTGCTCCCACCACATCCCCTGGGTACCGGACCAAGGACTTCTGCCATCGCTGGCAACAGGCCCAGTTGTAGGCCCCCGGGATTAATTGCAGTCTGCTGTTGCACCCAATGAATATACGAATGGCCGCTTTCCGGCACCTACAATGACAAAAGGGGAAATGGAATCAGTGCAGTTGGATGAACATATAATTGGAACCTCCCAGATTCCCATCTCCCAATCCTCTGGATAACTTCCTCAGCCAACCCCAGGCGAGATGCCTCAGTGGCAACCCCTATCCGAAAGGAGTGCCCCCCAAACTCTGCACCAGACAGCCCTAAATCCCCCAAAACCATGCGGAAATCCCTGATAAATTGGAACATAGAGAGGAAACTGGCATCCCTGTGAACCAACAAAGGATCCATGCCACCGGGGGAAACTCCCAGAAAGCATGAAGACAAGTCAAAGGACAGACCATAGAGCCAGGGATGCTCCATAACTTGACCCATGTCCCTCATCCAAAAACGTCCGTCTTGGACTTTCAAATCAAAAACCTTACTGCATCCGTTTCACCAAACACATCCCCAAATAAACCCCCAGGGACCGATTTGGATGAACTCACAAGCTCGCCCACCCGCATGACCCCAAAAAAGGCGAAGGAGAACGCCAACCGAAATAACACCACTTCCAACAAAGAGAAGCCGACCTGTGGTAGAACACTGAACAAGCCCACCATAAGAGCACTTGAACTGGCTACCGAGAGTCCGCAATCTAGGGCCCTTTACGCCATCCCCTCATAACCAATGAAACAAGAACATACTTCGTGATGTTCGAAACCTTGGTGCACTTAAACCAAAAGCTCAGCACAGACAACTTCCAAAACACAGCCGAGGCAGAACAGCCCAAAGCTTCCCAGAACCAAATTAGCTGTATCAAACATCGCACATGCTCACCATCGGACCGAAAACCCCTGAGCTTCCTCTCGAAGTCCAACCATTCGCTCCATGCCTTGCCATAATGCTGCCAAGTAGACTACGGGACTGAACACCAAATCCAAGATATTATTGGGGCAGCCCGAGAGCCCCTCAATGTCAGGATTACAGAATGATCCAGCACGTAGAACTGTGTAACACAGAGGACTGATAGGTAACGTATACAGGACCTTAGAATAGCCGGACTAACGTACCAAGGAATAGTCAGGAATAGCCGAGGTCAAGGGAAACAGAAAGAGACACAACGATAAGGAAAAGCCAGGAGTCAGGGATGCCAGAAAACAGGGAAGTCAAAAACAATGCCAAAATCAAATAACCAGAATCAATAACAGTCCCAAAACCTGCGGGTGTCGGTGATCAGATAGAGTTTGGCATTGCACACCTCAGACGCCTGCCAATACGACAGACCATTAAACGCGTCCAAGAAGATGGACTGCAGGTGTCGCAACTGAAACTTCCTGAGGGACATGGCACAGGTCCAAAACCTTATCCTCCAGCCAATTACATTCCCAGGAATCTCAATCCCCAAGAAGCTCAGACAGGTGGAAGGACCCACCGTCTTATCAGGGACAAGCAGGACCCTGAAGAACCGAGAGACCGTTTCCAGGGTTCGGAGAAAGTGTGAGCACACATTCGAACCGGCTGGACCAACACACAAGAAATCATCCAAATAATGCAACAGCGAGTTACAAGCTGCCTCTTCCTGCACCATGCATTCCAGAAATGTACTAAAACGTTTGAAATAGAAGCAGGAAATAGAACAACCTATAGGCAAATACAGGTCCACGAAATAACTGCCCTGGAAGAAACAACCCAACAGATTATGGCAGTCCGGGTGGACTGGAAGCAACCAAAAAGCAGCCTCTATATCACTTTCGCCACCAGAGCCCCTGGGCCTGCTCCCCGAACCATCCAAACCGCAACGTCGAATGACGCGTACGACACCCTACACAGCTCCTCATTGATATCACTATTCACCAAAACCCAGAATTGGTAGGACAAATGGTGAATTAGATTAAACTTACCCAGCTCCTGCTTTGGTACCACTCCCAATGGGGAGGCACGTGGTTAACGATCGTCAGAGTAGAGAACAGGCCAGCCATCCGTCCCAAAGACAGCTTCTTATTGACATACGCTGAAAGGAATGCACTTAAAGAGCTCCAAGAAGATACAAATATAGTAATCAAACCAGATTTGACAAAGGAGGCACATAAACAACTACATGACACAGATGTATATACAAAACTTTCATCAGACCCAACAACCGAGATACAAGTTATTTTAACCCAATTTTTAAAGAAAGGTTTAGATTTTAAACAAACAATAATTAAATTTTTTTAAACAAAACATTCCCTAAAATACCTGTTATATACTTCCTCCCCAAAATACATAAAAATGAAACCAAACCCCCAGGAAAACCAATTGTGTCAGGTATTGGTTCCCTACTCTGTAACCTTTCACAATATATAGACACCCTCCTCCAACCCTCTGTAAAAAGAATTCGATCTTATCTGCAAGACTCCATGTCACTACTAAAGTTTTTAAATAATTTTAAATGGAAATCTAATTTTATCCTTGTTACATGTGATGTTCAATCTCTCTATACTATTATACCTCATAATATTGGATGCCAAGCAATTAAAGAGATTTTAAAAGAAGAAGGAAAGATAGCAGATTCACAAATAGATTGTATTCTCGAAGGTATAGACATTATTTTAAAAAATAACTATTTCTGGTTTCTTAATTCTTTTTATCTCCAAAAAAGAGGAACAGCTATGGGGACTAGGTTTGCCCCCAGCTACACAAATTTATTTATGCCACATTGGGAGTCCGAAGCCATTTTTAGCGATCATTACCAGGGCAAACCTGGTCTCCTATTTTAAATATATTGATTACCTCTTTTTTATCTGGGAAGGCCCAGAAGATTGTCTTCTCTTTTATCAATTATCTTAATATTAATAATAAAGGTATTATTTTAACTTATGAATACAGTAAGGAACAAATTAACTTTTTAGATCTTCATATTTTTATTAAAAACAGACAAATACATACAAATACTTTTTTTAAGAAAGTTTGCGTAAATACTGCAATTTATAAATCCAGTTGTCACTACCAACCTTGGCTGGATAGTGCCCCTAAGAGCCAAATTTTAAGACTACGAAGAAACTGTTCAGAATGAAATGATTGTAACAAACAAGCAGAATTTTTAAAAAATAAGTTTATTGAAAAGAACTACTCTGAAATAATTTTAACAGATACAATTAATCATATTCAACATAAAGACAGAGATGAACTTTTAATGTATAAAACTAAAAACACAGATGAACCTATGCCTCTGCCTATCATTTTTAATTATGACAATAAGAGTGGCAATATAAAAAAAGATAATAAAGAAACATTGGCATATTTTAAAACAGGACGAAACCCTTAACAAAATTTTACCGGAACATCCCAATGTAGTATTTAGAGGAGCTCCTAATTTTAAATTAATCTTAACTAAAAATCTCACTAGAGAAACACAAATCAAACCGGCTCTATCCTTATTCCCTCAAATTAAAAGTTTCTGTAAATGCAAATCGTGTATAGTCTGTAAAACCACCGATCCTACAGTACCATCCAAAACAATTGAATTTACCTTTAAAGTAACAAATAAGGTTTACAAAATTAATGATTTTATAAACTGTACTACGAAAAATGTTATTTATCTGCTTGAATGCCCTTGTGGCCTCCAATATGTTGGAATGACCACAAACATTTTATCAAACATAATAAAGATCCTAGAATGCTAAAATATATGGGAATTAAAAAATGTTCTATCCCCTGGAGAGAAGGAGATATAAAAAACATCCTTGGGAGAACAGAAATGAAATGGGTGTATGAGCTTAAGACCCTTACACCCCATGGTCTAAACTCAGACTTTGATTTATTTAATTTTATTTGATATTGTGTGATTTTTTTGCTCCTTTTTAGGCTGTACTTTGTCCTATATGCTTTTATATAACTTTTTATATATGTTTTATAATTATCTTAGATTATGTGTTTTATATGTCCCATATAGGTTTTCTTTATATATATATATATATATATATATATATATATATATATATATTTCTTATACATATGTGTTCTATTGTCAGGGTACCTGTTGGTGATGTATCCAGGGAGGACATCCTCTCTGCTTAGGGGCTCCCTGCCCCTAGCATTTCGGCATATTCCGTCCGTTTTCGCGCCGGCCGCGCTAGCTCCTCCCCCTTTTATGACGCGACGGCTAGCGTCGACGTCATGACGTCGGCATTTGCATAAAGTGCCGGGAACCGCTATTCCGGACCTTTTTGGGGGCGTGGTCTCTATTTGGGTAACAGGGTATTTAAAGGAAACCTTTACTGCTGCTCATTGCCCTGTCGTGGTTCTAGCTTGCTAGTCACTCAGCGCGTTCTTTATCTTGTGTTTCCGGTTTTGACCCTTGCTTGTCTTTTGTCCTGTTGTCCTCTCCTCTCCTTTGACTCGGCTTGTATCTCGCTTACCTGTCCTCCGGCTCCCTTGACCTCGGCTTACCTTTTGACTATTCTTGCTTTGTCCTTACGTTAGTCCGGCCATTCTAAGGTCCGGTATACGTACCTCCTTCTGTGCGCACTCTGCGTATTGGATCCCTGTCAGTTTCCTGACATTACGACAGGGCCAGATGGATCCTGCAGGTGCTAGTCCTCCTGACCCCAGATTTGAGGCCATGGACCATAGAATGGACCAAATGGCTTTAGCGTTACAAACTTTGTTAACACGCTCCAGTACCCAGTCTGAAGAAATACGTTCCACTGCTAGCCACTCGCTAAGTACTGGTTTGGAAGTAGCCACTGTAGGCGCATCTTCCCATGTCACGTCACCATTACGATATGGGGGTTCGCCTGAGGCTTGTCGTGGTTTTTTAAACCAGATAAGCATACATTTCGAACTACAACCCCGGGCTTACCCCACTGACAGGGCTAAGGTAGGCTTTATTATAACCCTGCTAATAGATAAAGCACTTAGATGGGCCAATCCCTTTGGGAGAATGACAATCCTTTAGTCTACAACTACACTGCGTTTGTCACGGCTTTTAGAAGAACCTTTGACCCCCCAGGGAGGAAGATTAATGCGGCCAGATCCCTGTTACGCCTTAAACAACAGGATAGGACCCTTGTAGAATATGCTCTAGAGTTTAGATCATTGGCAGCAGAAGTAAAATGGAACGAACAAGCTTTTATGGATGTTTTCTTGAATGGGTTGTCTGATGAAATTCTAGATGAAATTGCCACTAGAGAACTTCCGGAAAATTTAGAGGATTTAGTATCCTTCATTTCCAGAATAGATGAACGCATGAGACAGAGGCAGAACACTCGGGAAAGAGTTACTAGACTTCCTGTAAGACTCGCTCCCTCATTTCAGAACCTGACTCCTATAATCCTACTCCACCAGAACCTATGCAAATAGGTAATACTCGCTTATCTGAGGCTGAGAGACAGTACAGAAGAAGGGAGGGTCTCTGTTTATACTGCGGGCTGAGAGGTCACCTACGTCTTAGTTGCCCTAATCGTCCGGGAAACGCTTGCACCTAAGTTCCCTTAGAGGACGGGCCTTGGGTGTTTCATTACTGTCCTCTATGCATAATAAAAAAGACCATAGGCTTCTGATTCCTGTCTCTCTAGCTTGGGAGAAGGGGTTTATTGCTACGATGGCATTATTAGATTCTGGAGCAGCAGAAAGCTTTATAGACCAAACTTTCGCTAATAAGCATTGTATCCCATTCCAATTGAGAGATACACCCTTGGCCGTTGAGGCCATAGATAGTAGACCTTTATCTGAACCAGTAATATTCCATGAGACCGAACCCGTTAAGCTTACTGTTGGTATTTTCCACGAGGAGTTGATTTCCCTTCTGTTAATTTCCTCCCCGGCAGTCCCAGTGGTACTAGGATATTCTTGGCTCAAGAGACACAACCCTCAGATTGACTGGGAGGGTGGAGAAATCGTGCCTTGGGGTATGGGTTGTAGGAAAGAATGTCTGCAGAGTGTTACTTCTGTTTGCCCCATAAACTCTTATGTTAACACTTCTCAATCCACAGACGTTCAGATACCATTACAATATCTAGACCTCAAATCTGTATTTGACAAGGGTAAGGCGGATACTTTACCTCCCCACCGGTCTTATGACTGTTCTATTAAACTTTTCCCTGGTACTATGCCTCCCAGGGGTACGGTATACCCTCTATCCACCAAGGAAAACTTAGTTTTAGAGGAATATATCAAGGAGAATTTAGACAAAGGATTTATTAGAAAGTCTTCTTCTCCGGCGGGGGCGGGTTTCTTTTTTGTAGAAAAGAAAGACGGTACCTTACGTCCTTGTATAGACTATCGGGGATTGAACAAAATTACTATCAGAAATGCTTACCCTATTCCTTTGATTACTGAACTCTTTGACAGACTAAAGGGCTCGAGTATTTTTACCAAACTTGACTTAAGAGGAGCATATAACTTAGTGCGAATTAAACAAGGAGATGAATGGATGACAGCATTTAATACCCGTTACGGGCATTATGAGTACACCGTAATGCCGTTTGGGCTTTGCAACGCCCCGGCCGTCTTCCAAGATTTGATCAATGAAGTTCTTAGAGAATTCCAACATGAATGTGTAATTGTATATTTGGATGATATACTAATCCATTCTAGAGACATTAATTCACATCATAGACAAGTCAGAAAAGTATTACAGAAACTTTTACAACATGGATTGTATTGTAAATTGGAAAAATGTAGCTTTGACCAGTCTCAGGTAACTTTCTTAGGTTACGTAATTTCCAAAGACGGGTTTATGATGGACCCGACCAAACTAAAATCGATTTTAGATTGGCCTTTACCTAAGGGACTCAAGGCCATACAAAGATTTCTTGGATTTTCTAATTATTACAGACGTTTTGTTAAAGGGTACTCCTCTGTTATCGCTCCTATCACTAATATGACCAAACAAGGAGCCGATACCAAAACCTGGTCTACTGAGGCTTTATCTGCTTTCTAAACGCTCAAACAGTCTTTTGCCTCAGCACCTGTATTAGTTCATACCCTTTTTACTTGAAGTTGATGCGTCTGAAACAGGGATAGGCGCAGTGTTGTCCCAAAGACAAAGTTGAGATAAGCCGCTGCACCCTTGCGGTTTTTTTTCCAAGAAACTATCACACACTGAAAGGAGATATGACATTGGTGATAGAGAACTTTTAGCTATCATTATGGCATTGAAGGAATGGAGACATTTGTTAGAGGGCACCGTCCTCCCAGTTACTATCTTGACTGACCACAAAAATTTATCGTATATGGGGGAGGCCAAAAGATTATCTGCCAGGCAGGCACGTTGGTCTATGTTCCTTACACACTTTAATTATGTGCTTACTTACAGGCCTGGTTCTAAGAACACTAAGGCAGACGCTTTGTCACGTCAGCACGAACCTACCACCTCTACAGAGGATACTTTGTTCCCTATTATTCCTGAAGTCAATATTATCGCCAACACCAATGTCAAAATACACTCTCCATTGCTCGCTGATATTCAGAACGAACAATCTCTTGCTCCCGAACGTACTCCTGTGGGCCGCTTGTTCGTGTCTCCCAAATTCCAAGTGGACATTATTCGCTGTTTTCACGATAGCAAGTTCGCTGGTCACCCCGGCATCCACAAAACTTACTGCCTGATCTCCAAAGACTTCTGGTGGCCCGGTTTACGTAGGGATGTGGAAGACTTTGTCAAGGCTTGCAATGTTTGTGTCAGGAATAAACTTCCGCGGGATCTCCCTTGTGGTTTATTGCAGCCCTTAGTCGTTCCCAACAAACCTTGGGCTTGTTTGGCTATGGATTTTATTGTTGATCTACCAGCTTCCAATAGGCATACAGTTATCCTCCCGGTCCTTGACAGGTTTACTAAAATGGCTCATTTCGTTCCCTTGCCTAAACTTCCGTCCTCCCCCGAACTGGCCGTGATATTTGCTAGAGAAATTTTCCATTTACATGGTATTCCCAATGAGATTGTGTCAGACAGGGGCTCCCAATTTATTTCCCGTTTTTGGAGATCCTTCTGTTCACAGTTGGGCATCAAACTGAATTTTTCTTCGGCCTATCATCCTCAATCTAACGGAGCAGCCGAACGCACTAACCAAAAAATTGAGCAATATCTACGTTGTTTTGTTTCTGAACACCAGGATGACTGGATCGGTCTGATTCCTTGGGCGGAGTTTGCTCACAACAACCTTGTTTGTGGTTCCACTCGTAATAGCCCCTTTTTCTTGAACTATGGCTTTAACCCTACTGTTCTTCCGTCGGTGTCTCCTTCCCAGGGTATACCGTCGGTTGATATTCATATAGCCAACCTGAGAGAGTTGTGGGATCAGACTCGACAAATTCTTGAACGTAGTTCCGCGGTGTTTAAGTCACATGCTGATAGGCGTAGACGTCCTGCTCCTATTTTTTCTCCGGGGGATAGGGTCTGGTTGTGTACTAGACACATTCGCCTGAAAGTTCCTTCCTTGAAGTTTGCTCCTCGTTACATTGGTCCTTACAGGGTACTGAGGAGGATCAACCCGGTTTCTTATTTGCTGGATCTACCTCCTACTCTACGCATCCCTAACTCTTTTCATGTGTCTTTATTGAAACCTCTTGTTTGTAACAGATTTTCCTCCCACTCTGCTCCTCCATCCTCGGTCCGTGTGGATGGTCAGGAGGAATATATC